GTGTTTTTTTTAATTGAAAAGCTGAAATTAATCTGCCAAAATCTGAATATGGTTTGGGGGTTCAGAAGTGTGTGGCCAAATATTTGCTGCTTGCTGTGTTTGATTGTTTAAAGAAACAATAAACAAATTCTGCTTAAAAAAAAATCCAAAACTTTTGAACCACTTCAGCTTGTGACCAAACGCCTGAGCCCATCAGTCAGAGATTTTTCCAGGTTTCTGATACTCTGCTGGCTTCCTTGACTCATATCTGTCTCCATAACTTTGGGTTAATTTAGGTCAGAACATAAGAATTGCCATACTGGGTCAGACCAAAGGTCCATCCAGCCCAGTATCCTGTCTACTGACAATGGCCAATGCCAAGTGCCCCAGAGGGAGTGAACCTAACAGTTAATGATCAAGTGATCTCTCTCCTGCCATCCATCTCCATTCACCCTCTGCCAAACAGAGGCTAGGGACACCATTCCTTACCCATCCTGGCTAATAGCCATTAATGGACTTAACCTCGATGCATTTATCTGTTTCCTAGAGACTGGCTCCATGGGGTCCCTCACAAACTGGAGACGGTTACTGTGGGTTTGTCTTTAGTATAGTTTATGTACATATTCCACAAACTGAGCATTTGAGCTTGTTCCAGAATCTGGGATGAGCCTATGTTGTGAAAACTGAAATGCTCAAAATAGCATGCATGTGAATGGACACAGGTTGCTAAAATTAAATTAACCCAGGGGGTCTCAAACTGGGGATCGGGACCCCTCAGGGGGTCATGAGGTTATTATTGGGGTTGCGAGCTGCCAGCTTCCACCTCAAACCCCGCTTTGCCTCCAGCATTTATAATAGTGTTAAATATATAAAAAAGTGTTTTTAATTTATAAGCGGGGGAGTCACACTCAGAGGTTTGCTATGTGAAAGGGGTCACCAATACAAAATTTTGAGAAACACTGAATTAACCCCTCTGAAGCCTCAGGGAATGCAGGGGAGGGGGGGTCTCCCTTGGTAGGGTTGGGAAGGAGGTAGGTGGTGTAGGATATTGTTCTTTTCATATGATCCCTCCCCCAGTGGCTAATTTTAAATGAAGCTACCCTCCCCTGACATGAATCTCCCTATGGCACTGAAATTAAATATAGACTATAATTTGGCATTTGAAAAGTGAAAGGGACTGCAGCCCTAATGGAAAAGCTAACAGCTTGGCTCTTCTGCAAGCCTCAAACTGCTGATGAGCTTTAGGGTAGGGAAGGCTGTGCCTCCCAAACAGCCTGCCCCTGCCCCCTATCCAACCCCCACCCACTTCCTGCCCCCCAACTGCCCGCCCCCCTCAGAATCCCCGACCCATCCTGCTCCTTGTCCCCTCACCGTCCCCCAGAGACCCCCCTCCCAACCACCACCCCGGGATGCCACCCCCACCAATGCCCCCTGCTCTCTGTCCCCTGACTGCCCCAACCCCGTGCAGCCCCCCCGCCAAGTCCTGACAGACCCCCAGAATGCCCATGATCCAACCCCCCTTTCTCTGTCCTCTGACTGCCCCCCCCCACCTCTGCCCCCTCCCTGCCCCTTATCCAACCTCCCTGACCCTTATCCAACCCCCCTGGCCCGGGGCCCCTTACCCCCAGCTCCCCCCTCACCTGGAGCCTCAGCGCGCCGCATCCAGGAGCGTCCCTGGAACTCATAGCCCCACCCCCTTACCACGCGGCTCCGAGCGGGGAGGAGCTCAGGCTCCGCCGGAGCCAGGGATGCGCCTGGGTGCGCTGAGGCTCCGGGGGAAGGGCAGAGCCAGGGTCGGACCAGGGCCGGGGCCGGGGAGGGAGCCTCAGCCCTTCTCTGTGGGGGCCCCTGTGGACCCCGGGGCCCGGGGAAAATTGCCCCACTTGCCCGCCCCTCTGGGCGGCCCTGCTTTCTGATCTTTTCTGCCTGTTGTGGCATTTCCGTTCTATGCCCAGTTTGGTATGTGCCTTGTCTTTATCTTTGTTCTGTGTGTTGTGGATGTCACTGTGTACATTGTGATTTGCATTACAAACATTTCACAGGCTTTGCTATCCTCTTCCACCGGTACAAGCCTTGTGGAATCTGTTTTGGATGAGTGTCAGGAGGAAAGGGGCTGAAACTTGGTGAACTTGCTAGTTTATGCTTGTGGAGGCAGAATGGGTTTGTTAGTCACTGACAAAAGATAAAAACCTAACCAGCCACTGTCTGTCTCCTCCAGCGTTCTAGACCAAGCACCTGCGCCAGCTATCTCCACTGTAGGTTCCTTCAGATGTTCTAGATTCAAGTGGCAAGCAGCACTGGGTTGGGAGAGGTGCAGCTCTTGCAAGCGGCTGTGCAGGATTTGACTTTGGGGGCTGCAAGGAGTCATCTGACCCTGCCATTGTAGTGTACAGGAATAGGGCAGTATAACAAGATAGGCATCCTCCCAGTCCACAAAGGACCTGCGGCCATTCCCAAAGCCTCTTCTAGGCAGCTTTGCTGTCCTAGTCTTAAGCAAAACAGACAGTTCCTCAGCTCAGTCTCACCTACAGTCCCTGGAGGATTTTTCCCCTCCCAGGGATCTCTGCCAGTCCTGCTTCCTGCAGCTCCCTCACTCTGACTCAGTGTCATATAAAACCTAATCTGGGTCAGCTGATGCAGCACATGAGCACTGGCCCTGCTCCCTCATAGAGGCCTTGTCAACCTGTGACAAGAACTATCCCTTTAAATTGTTTGAGCCCTCTCATGGCGCTTACTGTGTTCTGGTTTAGAAGCTGCCAGACCTCAATCAGAGCAGTGTGTATCTAGCTGGGCCTTGCACGTTTCTGTATGGTTAGTAAACATGGTAACTTGGGACCCAAGTGGGCCGAGGTGGGTTCCTCATATTGCCATTTTGTGGGGTAAGCAGCAGTAGACACAACAGTCACATCAGGAGCCCATATCTCTGGGCTGAAACCTTGGACCTGTTGAAATCAATGGACATTTTGCGTTGGCGTCACTGGAAGCTGGGTTTCGCCCCTGGTTCTTTTACAGTCAGAGCTGAACCTGACAAACCGTGCAAATGATGTTGTCTGGGGAATTCTAAGTATCATCTTCCAAAGCAGCTCACCAATTATTAAAAGCGTTCCAGGAATGCTGGTGCTCCCCTTGTCACTCCCTGTCCATCTAATAGCAAGGAGGGAGAAGAAGAGACCCCATAATTTCTTCAGAAGGAAAAAACTCAGACATTTTTGATGCTTTACCTGGCTGTTTTATTTAATCATTCATCAGCCAAGATCTCTGGGCAGAATTCAGTTACCATGACAGACCTAGAATTATATAGAAACAACACTGATCTCCAAAATGCAAGAATAAAGAAGGTTACACAGTTGATAGGGAAAGTACAGCATGCTGGTGGCAAATCTTAAAACAGCATCTACAATTACTAGGATCCAAGAAAGGAATTATTCCATGAGTGACTTAAACCTGGAAGGGAGGTTCTTCCAAGGAGGGTATTCCTCAACCCACCATTTCCGTGAACGGACAAGTTTTAGAGGGGTTGTCCTTCTCCACCACCGAGTAGCTGCAGGACTCCTCATGGAAGATGAGTTTACATTTCTTTTCGTCAAAGCCAGCAGGACGAGAAAAGCTAGCATTGGGAAGGAAAACAAGCATTGGTATGAGACGTGTCAGGCTAACTCTGACCACAGCTAAACACAATCAATCACTAGGCCATGGGGCAGCTTTCCAGGTGTGTCCTCACTATCTTTGAACTGGCAATTTGTTTTAAACCAAAACCCCCTGTAAATAGAGACAGCCCCTGCCTCAGAGAGTTTACAAGCTCAGTGTGAAGCTACAGATAATCAGGGGATAAAACAAATAGAACAAGGAAATGATATTAGTCAGCAAGATAGACAATGATCCCAGCAAACCAGCTGTCTAGCGAGTGTTGAGCATTTTGTACATCACAGCAGAGAAGAGTTTTACTTCAGTGGGAACTCTAGATGTCCCCCATCACCGTGACATCTGAAAACCTCACAACCGCTAATACTTTGATTTTTCCAACACCCCTGAGAGCTGGGGAAGTGCTACTAGCCTCATCTTATGGCTAGGGAAATGAGGCTCTCAGAGACTTAGGTCCAAACCCTGCAGGGTATTTAGGCTCCTAACGTCCGTTATTTCAATGGAAATTAGGTGCCTTCTTGAGGATCTGGTCCCAGGCAACTTTGCCCAAGGTTACACACGAAATTTGTGTCAGAGCAGTGTATTGAACATGGGTTTCCCAAAGTACTACGCGAGAGTGCTAACTACTGGACCATCCTGCCTCTCTGAAAAATTGAGGTATTACATCCCCTCTGATCATCAAAAATCTGATGGGCATTTTTCACAAAGGGAGCAATACTAGACCCAATTTCAATTAACTCCATTCTTCAAGCTTAAATGCCCCATATCATTTCAGCTGCACAAATTATTTCTCATTACTTCCTTGTGGTTTTAGCCGCCTGTGACCATCTTCTACCCCAATGTAAACCAAGGATTTGCCAGTGTCATGAGAAGTTCTAAAAAAGCCATGCAACATACAGCCATGCAACAAGATGAGTGCCCAGCAAGGCTGCCTCCAACACCAGGGGGTAAGATGTAAGCTAAGGAGAATGCAGCCATAGGCCTAATGGGTGGTAAAGCCAACACTCAAGATAAGATTAAGAGTGATCAAGTGACTTTCCCCAGGACTATGACGAAGACCAGGAAAACAGACCTTGGTGGAGTTTGTTTATTCAGAGTATGGATGGCAAGAGCGTCACTGTGGTTTTCACAGTGGAAACGTTGCTACTGGGTTCTGTTGAACTTACGTGGAGCAGCAGCTTATTCCCTCCTCTCCGCAGGTGCAACTGTGGCAGTCCTTAATCCACGTGGCACCATATAGATATTGTTTTCCATCTTGAATACAACCTGCAATATGCAAATAAAACAAAATAAAACCCGACCCTTCACTTAAACTTCAACATCAGACCAACAACTTCAACTGTCTGTGCATGTTGCAAGAAACTTCAGGCCTCTGCAGGCAGAATGCCATTAATTCCGCTCTTGTGCCCACCTGAATGACATTTCAGCCTCGTTTACTACTTAGAACATAAGAACGGCTATATTGGGTCAGACCAAGGTCCATCTAACCCAGTAGCCTGTCTTCCAACAGGGGCCAATGCCAGGTGCCCCAGAGGGAATGAACAGAACAGGTAATCAACTGATCCATCCCCTATCATCCATTCCCAGCCTCTGGCAAACAGAGGCTAGGGACACCATCCCTGCTCATCCTAGCTAGTAGCTATTGATGGACCTATCCTCCATGAATTTCTCTATCTTTAAGAGCATGAGCTTGTTTTCTCCATTTTCTGCACTTCTGGGATGAATCTTTTGTGACAATAAGCAGTAAACTAGCTAGGATCATATCCTGCCATTGTGGTGCGTTCAAAACTATCATCATCTCCGATGGGAGTTGTCAAGTGCAAAATGATGGCAGCATCGCTCCATCTCTTCCAAAATCAATGGAAACCCTCTGGAGACCCACAGCTTTGGAAGGAGCACACTGTGGGTTCGTGTCTTTGATTCCTTGGAGATAGAACAGAGTTGGGACACTCCAGCTAGAATGGATGGTGTCACTATGCAGAATTGGAATGCACACAAGCTACTTGCTTGAGCTAAATCCATTAGAAATTGGCCATGTGTGATGCCTTTGTGTACTCCTCTTGCCAGCTACCTGTCACTCTAAAAACATAATTTTGTGGGGTACCCTACATTCCCCTCTTTCATATGCTTCCTGGCTATTCACAGTGGCAGTCAGCTAATATAGAGCAATCCAGAGAGCTGTTTTGGTTCTCACCTTGGGTAGATTTCTGTAGGCTATCTGGTTCAAAAAAACAGTATGCATCACATAGTGTCACCAAGATGCCAATGGCAAGAAGGAAACCCAGGAAGCACTTCTGTAAGAGGGAGATAAGGCCCGTGGCAAGGATTAGGTGGCTTTTCAATGGTTACCAGCTAAAGCTGGTTCATTTCTACAGAATCAAACAAAATCTTGGTAAAAAACAAAATTCAAAAATGAGGCCATTCCTAAGAGGACACACAAATAATAATAATAATAAAAAACTCAGTAAGCAAGTGATCAGTGTTACTCTGAATGGTCTCCCGGCCCGGACCTCCACTCCCCATTAAAGATGCAGCGCACAAAAAATTGAATCATAACATTTCCCCTTCATTTATAAATCTACAAACACCACAGAAACTGCCACATGGCCTGCAAAACCTGTGCTCATCAAGACCCTGTGAAATTCTGCCTGCCATGAGACCTGTAATTTGCACAGGTACAAACCAGAGCAGAATTTGGCCTCTGTTCATTATCCATCTTTTGCAGAATGCCTAAACATTGGCCAGCTTTCACAACCTCATGAAAATAACAGACTGCTGGAAAAGGATACCACCTCGTATAGCTGAAGATGACTAAAGGGACTAATGGTGGAATTTTCCATTTGTAACTTCTGATTGCATGGCTCTAAATATCTCCAGAATCGGAAAGGCTTTTACAAAGATAACTTTTCCCAAGAATAAAATAACAATAGACAAAAGACCCACAGATTTACCTGGGCAGCTCATAGCAAACAAACAGAATTCATTGTCATTTTCATAAAATTATAGCCAGTGTCTTAATCTCATGATGGATTCCTGCAGGTATTCAGTAAAATATACCCACATTTAGTCAGGTGATTCTCTCGAATGCACCCAGATAGCAAGTTTAAAACAAATAGTGCATGATAGGGCTAACAACTTTGGAAACCTGAATCTTTGATTTACTGTTGCAAAATGTGAGCTTCCAAAGAGATCAGAACCTGTGGGAAATTTTTTGCAGTGAATTTATACATTGTGTGAAAACAAGTATTTTGCAAGGCCTAATATTGAACAAGTTTAATATATATAAGTCTGTTCTGGGGAGACTTTTGCAGAAATTCCTGAAATTTGTCCGGTTGGTAATAAGAAGTTTTGGCTCGGCAAGGCACTATATAAAGTTTCACTTTGTTTGTTTGGCTGGATTGGAAGCTCTCTGACAGTCTCACGCCTAGAGCTCGTTGGGAATGTTCTGATCAAACTGCCAATTGTTGACCCCAAAATTTTCTGGGAAAACATATCAGGTTTGATCACTGCTTAATTTGTAATGAAAGAAGTGCTGGGGCTCAAGCAAATTTTTATGCTTGTAGCTGACGCAGCAAGCCCTGAGGTGCTGGGATTATAAACTGCCAAGCCTAGAGGTGCCAAGGCTCAGCCCTGGCAAGCCCCCGCACAAATTAAGCTCTGAGTTTGATGTACTTTGGATAAACCACAGGCACAGTTCTGACAGAAAACGGCTTGATTTCCTGCCAGACTGGTGGATTGCATGGGAGCCCACCTTTCTAGGGTCTGTGGCTCTGGAGTATCCCCAACATGCAGATTGCCCCGGGGCTGAAGATCTCAGGGCTCCCTGACTCCCTGCTGCAAAGCAGGAAGCCCTGGGAGCTCTGACTCAAGCTGGGATCAAGATCTCTGCCGTGGAGCTGGGAGCGAGAAACCCTGGGGGCTCAATAGTCACTGATGTGCAGCAGGGAAACTGATGAGAATCATGCCTAGGCCTGGGGAGCATGTTTCATTTCAGAAACTTCACCTGCCAGTGTTTCCAAAATGAATATTTTATGGAATTTCTGGTTCGCAGGAACATTTTTAATTTGGTTTTGTTCCAATTTAGAATGAAGCCAAATTTTAGCACATTGAAATGTCCCCTAATCAGAAATTCTGAGTTTTGGCCAGTGCTGCTCACACCAGCAATCAGCAAACACCGTTTCTGCTGATGTGCTAGCAGTGTGAGGCCTTCAAGACAAGCTTACATATCTTAGAGATGGGGACAGATGAGGTATAATGACAAGAAAAATGGCAGCATTCCACTCCTTCGGCTGCTGTGCTGTCTCAAAGACCTCAAAGATTTCACATGAGACATCAGGGCTAGGCATTGCCTCTTTCACAGGGTTGCAGTTGAGTTAAGGGATGGATTGTGGCCTACTGGTTAGAGCATGAAACGGAGGGTGAGGTGTTCTGAAATCCATTGCCAGCTCTTGAACTGAACCATGTCGGTGCTGAGATGCTACAGCAATGAGTGCTATAGAAAAACCTAAGAGAGTTGGACCTAGTGGATGCTGAAGATAAAAAAAACCCTCACGTCTAGAATCCTGCTGAAAAGCTCTTAACCTTCAGGACACAGTCAAAGCTTGAATACTTTATAAACATCTCTACTTTTTTTCAAACTACCTGGAAACCCAGCAGAAGTAACATTTCTGTCCATGTCTGACAGAAGCTGTTTTTCCCTTTCAGCTACTTAGACTGTAACTGTGATGGTGTGTGCGATCCTTTCCACAGGTGACGGGCTTCCCCAGGAATTGCTCATTTTTAGAATGATGTTTCCATCACATGGAATAAATATGATGCTTCTTCCCACAACCCCAATAGCCCTTTTAGGAGTGAGGTCCATAGACTGTCACACTGTGCCGGCTGCACCCAGGCTAACTCAGCTATTATTACTGGTGCTGGCAGCTAACTGGGCATCTCCATCCCCACCCCCAAACAGCATCCATGACACTCATATGGGATATGGGAGACCATGTATCAAATCCCTGCTCTGGAGCATAGACGTTAACCCAGGTCTTCCACTTCCCAGGTGAGTCCCTTACCACCAGGCTCCTGGCAGGTGGGTCTGTCTCACGCTCTCCTGTTTTGAGCTGTCCCACTTGGCACTGATATTTAAATAGTCATTGGAGCAGGGACTGAAACGCAGGTGTCCCCTCTCAGGTGAGTGCCGGCAAGTTTCTCCGCGATTCTACTAATCTAGCCCTTTGTTTCTAAATTTCATCTCCTTTACTTAACAAGCATGAAACAGAAACGGAACATTTTCTTTAGGGTTGAACAAATGTTTCATTTGACTTGTGAAAAAAAATTCTCCTATTTCATTTCACCTGAAAAAAATTCTTTCAATTTCCCCTCCACTCCCCCAACACGTCCAGCAAACCAAGTTACTTGCAAAGCTCTGCCTTGGTTGCTTGCCCACTTCCTATTCTTTTGTTTCACCTGCAATGTTCTATTGCTCCTGCTGCTGTCTCACAGGTAACAGAGATTTCATAAGAAGCATCCTTGCCAAGACCTCCCTGTTTGCCCCTAATGCTAAGGTTAGCACAATGAGCAGAGGTTGCATGCAGGAATGCAGTTGTACCAGTCACTTCCCACCTGGTGCTGAAAGTTTAGCATTAGGAGAAAACTTGAGATAAAGAAGAGATTATGTCAACAAAGGGTCTGTCTTCAAATGTACTTGTCCCATCACCTCAGCTTTGTCCCCTAATGCTCTGGAGTAGGAGTTGTTATGCAGTATATTACGAATGGTGCAATGATGCCTAATAACTGCTGTACTGGTGTCCTGTTTCCAGTGAACTGATGATGCCAAGCTAATGTCATGCCAGCCAATGAACTGAGGTTGCTTAGCTGCAATGGGTAGCACTGCTTTGAGGTATAGGGTTTCAAAGCGTGTCTCAGGGTAGTTGGGTGCTCCTTGATCCAAGGCCCTGGGATGTGATAGAGAGGTACCGAACTGAGCCTTGTTGATCATGTCTGCCTTGCATGTGTGTTCCTGCAGCATTGATTTAAATGCCTCAAATACATTCCCAGCATACACCTGGCACAGTCTAAAACCAGGGATGGTTTCTCTTGGGGCAGACTCTTCTTTGGACTGTAGAGTGTAGAGGACACCCTCAGCACAGTACCCCCAGCTACAGTATCACACCCTTTTAAAGTGTGACCTTTCCTTGTATGTGTAGCCCAGTGTCTGCTGCAGCTGGAGAAGGGTGTTTCCCTCTCCCAGTATTCATGGTGGTGATAGACTGTCAGAC